TGCTAGGTTAGTTGTCTTTTGTTGCTAGGTTATTTTGTTGCAAGGTTAGTTTTCTTTTGTTGCTAGATTATTTCTTTCTCGCTGCTAGGTTAGTTGTCTTTTGTTGCTAGGTTATTTCTTTTCTTTCTTGCTGCTAGGTTAGTCATGTTTTGTTGCTAGGTTAGTTGTCTGATGCTGCTAAGTTAGTTGTGTTTTGTTGCTAGGTTAGTTGTCTGATGGTGCTAAGTTAGTTGTATTTTTATTTTATAAAAAAATTGTAGCCCATAGGATTTGAACCTGGTACCTCATGGAAGCAAGACAAGCAATGCAACCACTACACCACTCAAGGTTGAGTATCTTTTGTTGCTAGGTTATTTATTTCAATGCAACGGGTCAACGTCGGAAGTCAACGGTCAATGCCGGAAGTCAACGGTCAACGCCGGAAGTCAACGATTCTCGCCGGAAGTCAACGCCGGAAGTCAACGGTCAACGCCGGAAGTCAACTAATAATTATTTTATTATTTAATTAATGTATATTTTAATTGATTTTGATCTAGACAAAATGAGTGGCTAAGATTGAGTCTCACGTACTCATTTTAAGGAGTGGTCTCATTGGATCCATCCCCTATATATATATATATATATTTTCGTTTCTTTAATTAAAATACCGCCCAACTCACATTTATTTGATTTTTTTTGTTTTTATCCTTTTTTAATCAATTCATTGGCACACTATTTGGACTTTCTTTATGTTTTTTTTATTTATTATTATTTATGTAATCAATTTAAATTATCGTGTATGGGAAAAAAAAGCTGCTAAATATGCATTGTATTCTAAAAAAAAATTGTGTGCAACATTATAAAAAAAATAAGAGTATAATAAAAAGTGGAGTAATAGTTTTTAATATATTAATAAATATAAGATCATAATATTAATTAAAATAAGTGGGAAACATGTAGGACCCACAAAAGAGAGGTTTTTGAGGTTTATTGTTATTGGAGAATTATGAAGGTTGGAGTAAGAATGAGGTTTTGGATGATGTGGCATGTTGTAAAGTAAAAAAGGAGGTTTAGGGAGGTTTTCCACTAAAGATGCTCTTATAAGAAAACCATGTTGCCCCTTTGCTTGCAGCGTGGCACCTCTCAAAACGCTCCATTTTGTTCAAAACGGCGTCGTTTATGAGATGTTTTCCAACCAGCCTCTTTGCATTTTTTTTCCTAAACTACCTCACTTTATATTGCATTTTTAGGATATTTTCGTCCTTTACATGTGACAGGCTATTTCCCTACCGGCAAAATTTCCGCACACACGCAAGCTCTCTTTCAAATCTACCCACTCATCATTTTTCTTTTATTTCTCTCAAACTCATCCTTTTCCACAAAGAAGGAAAAATAATCGCACAAAAATGAACCCGATCTCTTTGATTTTCCAGCTTCAGCATTACAGGTTACCTAATCCCTTTTATGCAGAGAACAACGGAGGATTCCGATATATGCTCTACGCCGCCATGCTCGACCCGACCGGCTAGATTGGCTTAGGCGAGACCACGGCCAGTCCGACTTCTCCGTCACAGCTGATAGGTACATATCTATCTCCCTCCCCTTTCTTGATTTTTCTTAAATTCTCGCTTTCATCTATCGATTTTTTTGCCTGGTAAATTTTGTTCTTTTTTTTCCACCTCTCTTTCTGTACTTTGTTTAATCGCAATATGTCCGAGTATAGCTTTTGTATCGATGATGGTTCACTCTGTTTCTTGTTTTTCATTTGGGCTTTTGATTTTTATATGCATTCATTTACTATATAGCTTTTATTTTCTACTGGCTCTCTTTTTCTTCTCAATTTGTTTGATTATTTTCTTGCAGGCCTGTGATTTCTCTACCTCTGTAAGTTTAACCTTTGTTCATGTGTCTATTTCGTGCACATTGTGTTGTCTTTTTGATGTAAAGGTGAATTATCACATGTGATAGTTGACTGATGTTTTTGAGAGGATTTAGGATAAATGGGATTATTGTAATGGTTGAAAGTATTTAAGAATAAAAAGGAATTGTGCTAATTAATTATGTTGACTTTTAGTTTTCTTCCATCAGAGCAATTGAAAAGGTATGCCTCATTACCAAACCCTCTCGGCAGCACTTGCTGCATGAAAATGACTTCCTCGGCATTATCCATGACTCTCGAGAACGGGACGTTGGGTAGGTCGGCTGACAGGTACCCGAGATTGAAACCCGTGACAAGAGCACATGTCGTATCGAACGTGAGCCTCTGTAAATTGTCTGTCTCTGCGCAGGTAGATAAGGTAAAATGTGAAATAGCAAAGATGGGACCTTTTGAAAAGGGGCGCGTGAAAATGGCGATAGTGTACGCGCTGATGGCGCATGGCTCAGTGGTGCTGGTGGAGTTCAGCTCCACGCCCACGATGGCGAACGCTATCGCCCGAAAAATCATCGAGAAATTTCCTGGCAACGAAGATACGAACGCTTCCTACTAGAATCAAATTTTATTTGCTCCTTTTCGTGGCTGAATCATTTGTAGAGAGAATAAACATCTTGGAATTATATGCGAGCTGTGATTTATAAGGTTTTTCTTTTTTATTTGCAGTTGGAATTTTATTTTTCATTGTTATTTGTAGATGACAAACTATGACTGATTTGGAGAACCATATAAATCCGTAGTCAAGCTCTTTGAATTTGGAAGTTGATGATAGTTGGACGAGTTGAAAAACCATGCCATTGTCGTACTTGTGATTTTACTCATTAGTCGGATCCAAAAAGGCAAGTGTTGCGATTCGTGTTTAAATTACTAAAGAATGATGGGCTGTGTGTTTGTCTTTTGATTTTTATTGGCTGAATGTTATTCTGTTTTAAATAAAGCGAGAGTATTGTTATGAGTTAACAATTCTAATTAGTGTGCATTTGCATAATCTCCCACACATATTTGGTGCAGGAAGAATATAGGGCGGAGGATGATGATGATGTGCCAACTATGAGTGGGAACAATAACATGTTCTTTGCAACGGTGGTTGGTGTAACATATCATGCGAATTCGTTTTTGGATTTAAATCTTTTGAGGCCGCTGCTTAGGGCTTGTGAAGCTCGTTACTGTAAACACACTCTCATTCAGGTTCTTTAACAGTTTCACTTTTCCATAACTGTAACAAAAAATTTTGTATTCAATTCAATCGTTTATTGCATGTTGCTTAGGGCTTGTGAAGCTCGTTTTGTATTCAATTCAATCGTTTATTGGTGTAAAAAAATTTCCTTACTAGCCACTAGCGTATTGCATGTTTGCCATTTCTATCCATTTAATTTATGTTGGGATCTTAAAAAAACACTTGCATGGATGATGGAAGTTAAGATTAATTGATTTGTCTTGTGAATATATATATATATATATATATATTAATTATTTCTCATCATATATTTTCGTATTTCCCCTACTTCTTAAGCGGGTATAAATATATTGGTTGAATAAGTAATATTTTCTCATGCCATTGTCGCTCATTCTTTATATAATGCGCTTGGTGTTCTATTGGTGCTACTTTTATCCACATATAATCACTGTTAATACTGGAGATGTAAGAAGTACAAACTGCTTATTCTCGTTGTGAAGCTGAGATAACTCATGCAAGTACTATGTGAAAATTTGTGGACAACGCTGCCATTGTCGAAGAATCTACGTGCATATTTAGACTCATAACGAATGAGCATTTCACATTTAGAGTTAAAATCTATTGTGTGCTGTAATGCAACTTTAGCACTAAACTATTGTGTGTCAAGAAACAACTTCTTTTTTTTTTTTTTTTTTTTTTTTTTTTTTTTGGGTACAAAGAAACAAGTAATTTTAAATTATGTTGTAGTTGAATTTTAGTATTGTCAAAATTTTACCTTTGGACTATAGATTAAGGCATTTGAAATTATGTTGCAGTTGAAGTTTAGTGTTGCCTCACTTTTATATGTAAACTATGGATTAAGGCATTGTAAAATTGTGATTTAACTCGTGCCCATTGTCGTTGCAAATGTTTTTAAAATGGTTGCGACTATTATGCTTTTCATTATATGATGAGAATAAATAAAGCATGACAACTATGTACTAAAATTAATACTCAATCATTAACACACTTTTACAACATAACGTAGAACTCGATTATAGTTTAATTATATGCTTAATTATGACAACAATTGGGCCGGCTGTGCAGACAAACTAGTGAGAGAGATTGGAAAGTTCAGACTACAAACGGAGGAGAAAGTAGAAAGCGAGCTGATTTATTGCTTGATACGGGCGAGCACACGGTAAACGAATGTGATCTGGAAAATTGAACGGTCACGATCCGGTCCCTTTTTATATGTTTTGACTGTTGTATAGATCGCACGGCGAATAATACAATTATACAAGGGCATAAATTGTGATGATCAAAGTGGTCGCGTGGAGATATTGTGCAACATACATCAAGATTTTCAGAGGGCTGGCCCAGTCATAACTATTGGGCTGAACGCTGGTTTCTTCTGGATATGAGCTGTGTAAAATAAATTTGGTGGGTTGTATTTCCTTATATTGATCCTTAAATACTTTAGAATAATTGACACCCCTTATCCATTATTAAAAACTGTTTACATTAATCTAACTGTTTACTTTAAGATGAGCCCAATATGATTTTAGTAGTTTATGTGATTTTAAGAGTGCAAAAAAATATATCGGTATTTAAACAAGTATGAGTGCTCGCGAACAAACTTCTTTTGGTAGGCTCGTGGATGGGATTGGTGAATAGAGTTTTTTGTGTATTTTTTTTTTATATTAACTTCTCATAGGTTGATTAATTATTGATTCAAGCAAAAATAGAATTGTGTACTACATTACATTAGATGATCTCAAACTACTAGTAGTCTTGTTATCTCAACAAGCTCTTGTCTGACCTCACCAAAGTTTGTCAAGTTCAAGTGTTTGACCGTACATACAAGATGAATCAAAGCTTGTTAAATTCCATACTTTTAAAACTTTGCGGTCAACTCAAGCTCGTTAATTATTCAATTGAGTTGGGTTTCACCACCTCAACTTACTTAGGTATACATAAAATTGTTGTTGGTTTAGGTAACTGGCATGAAGTCCTTTCATATATTAGAAACGAACAAATGTTAGGTACTTTCGTGTATTAAGACTTGCCATCAACCCACAAATTTTCCAAATTTATTTATCGTCCAAGGTTCATCTTGAATACTATAAGTATATATTTTATAAATTCCTAGTCAACGCACGCTTTCAAATTTTTAAACACACCAAGAAAGGAAAAAAAAAATAAAAACATTATATTACATTACAGCAAGGTACCACTTATCTCCAAATAATCTCCAAATAGCAGTACAACGTTCATGTAAATTTTAATAATAGAAGTTTTATTCAACCACATAACATTACACTATGGATGTAGAATACTAGAGGTGTGGCAAATTTGATCGATTCTGGTCACAGCTCGTAAACTGTAAAGTAACTCAGCCACGTTTGTTAGAAAGTATCATCATCAAACCACAAAAAAGGCATGAGTTCCAAGAAAATAGGCGAAGGATAATAGTACCCACACTTACCAAATGACTGGCTATCTTTTGTATCCTTTACACTCCAATTCGTCCGAGACAATTCATCAATTTTGAACCGAATTCCACCACAGGCTAATGACCTGACACTTCCAAACAATCATTGGCCACTCGGGCAACAATTATTTGTGTTGGATAAGAAAGAGCCAGAATAATCAGCACGGAAAAAACTTTGATCATGAAGGTGAATGCTTGTAAGAGAGCAAAGGCACAACATATTCATCTCCAGAACAGTTGGGAAAGTTTCCAGGAATAGTTTTCATATGCCGAGTTAAATTTTCACTTACGAAAAAAAAAGAAGAAAAAACATATTAACTAATTGGGAAGTTGTGAAAAACATAATATATGCATTTCCATTGATATGCTACACTGCAAGCCTTGGACAGGAAAAAAAATAAAATAAAAAGACAACCAAAAATTAAACAGAGACCATAAGAAGTACAGAAAGAAGAATTTAGAATGAACAAGTTCAGGAGACAAATAATAAGGCATGCTATGTACCTTTCTTGAACTTCAGAGCACAAATATGAAAATTTGTCAATGGAAAAGTGATTTTGAGTTTCTAACATTGCCAGGTCATAGCCCTCAACCTGCTTGCTTGAATACTGCAGTGACATTTCAGATGAATGTCATGAAGCTTCAAACCCAGAAAACGTATTGAAATGATAAGAAACAACAAGATTCTGCACTCTAAGCTGGGGGCACATGTATAGGTAAAGCAAGGTACTGGTTTATCACAAAGAGAAATGCGTAAGAAGCAAAAGTAAGTTGGCATGTGAGCTACAGGAAAAGAAGTCGTCAGGTGATTGGTCAATGATAAGCAAATGTAACACGAGAAAATAAACCAAACTATGTTATTCTTCATTCCGACAGAAATTGGATAATGGAATCTTTGTAACACAGGACAGAATTCCTATAGCATGTCGGTCATCATATTAAGTAGCAACAAATCAAAACAGAACGCTTAAAAGAGAAAAGAAGAAGAAGAAAAAGAAAAAGTACAACTGCTATATATTTGTAATGCGGCAGGTTGCTACGGTTCGCTTAAAATATAAATTAGCATTCGTACTTATGAATCAGTTCAATTACCAAAATGATTAATATGCCATTCTATGCATGATTACTAAAGAAAAATAGAGGGAATTGCAGAAGGAAACCTTTCCTTGTAAACAATGACATTGATATCTGTTAAAGAACACCCATGTTGCATATGGAACTCAAAGAATCATTTTACAGGGATCTGAAAGCTAATGTTATATGACCCACGGTATATACCAAATTAGTACTCATTCCACATTTAGCACAAAACTGCAAGTCATTAACCCTTGGTTTACACACCTGGAATTCATTTTACAAGGAAAAATCAAATTCAAACAAAGCATACCATGATGGCAAGGTGCTGTGATTAGCCGGCGACGCAGCTGGTAATTATCGAGAACCAGAAATGAGAGAGATTGGAAAGTGCAGACTACAAACGGAGGAGAAAGTAGAAAGCGAGCTGATTTATTGCTTGATACGGGCGAGCACACGGTAAACGAATGTGATTTGGAAAATTGAACGGCCACGATCCGGTCCCTTTTTATATGTTTTGACTGTTGTATAGATTCGCACGGCGAATAATACAATTATACAAGGGCATAAATTGTGATGATCAAAGTGGTCGCGTGGAGATATTGTGCAACATACATCAAGATTTTCAGAGGGCTGGCTCAGTCATAACTATTGGGCTGAACGCTGGTTTCTTCTGGATATGGGCTGTGTAAAATAAATTTGGTGGGTTGTATTTCCTTATATTGATCCTTAAATACTTTAGAATAATTGACACCCCTTATCCATTATTAAAAACTGTTTACATTAATCTAACTGTTTACTTTAAGATGAGCCCAATATGATTTTAGTAGTT